AGAGAAAAAAAGGTAAAGACATTCTGCTCAGTTCTGGAAGTTGATGATGGTTTCTCTCTCCCTGGGAGGTCACCTCTGTCATTGCTAAAATGAAAGAGGGAAATAAGAAACTTCAAATAAGCTTGGATAAAATGAGCTTTTTCTACTCCCCTGATTGCTGCTCCAAGAAGTACTAGCACCTGGGTTCTAGGGGAAAGGCAGGAGGCCATGACCATTCCCCAAAAGACGCTACATAGAGGTGCCAGGGAGCAAGATCTTTAGGGGCTAGAAAGTTAAGAACACAAGGGTTAGAACATACCTTAGAGATCATCTAGTTCAACCCCTTCCCTCCCTTTTCCCTCATTTTACAGATGGAAATAATGAGATGCAGGGAGAGTGTTAGATGCTGAGATTTTAAAGGTCCCTTTCCAACTTTAGAGTTCACTGGCCTGTTTTTACAGTCCTCCCAATCTTCCATAAGCCTCTAAGCAAAAACTATTTGGACTAATGTGCCATTTGGGCCAGGCACTGTAATCTGGCAGCTGCTGAAAAGGAAGAACTTTTGGACTTTCTAACATGGTTGTAGAGTGGGGAAAATAGGGGTCTTTGTTCAGTGTTGAATATCCATTCCAACTGATGAAGAAGGTGTTTTTTAGACTTAGCAACCCATACTAAAGGCTCATATTTCTCTTTGCACATCAGGATCATAGGATTCAGAGCTAGAATGGACCTGAGAGTCAATTCTTTTATTTTACATATAACAAACTGAGGCCCATACAGGAGAAATTATTTCCCCATTGTCACACAGTTAGTCAATAACAGAGCCAAGATTCAAACTTGGGTCCCCAGACTCCAGTGACATTGCCTTTAGCATTTCCTTCAAGGCAGAATAACCATCCTAAATCATAGTATAGTCTAAAATATTAGTGGATGCCAGAGTTTTTATTGCTGTTATTATTTCTAATGGTGTAGTCTTTCAAGGATACAACTTGGTGTACTCAAAAAGGGATAATTAGGAAGTGGTGAGTTAAACTCCCCAAAGCCATCACCAAGGGAGCTTTTAAGGAGCTCCCTTGACACGAGTTCACACTTCAACTACTACTCAAAAAAGCTACTGACAATGATAGAGCACCCCTCAAAGGGAAAGCTAGGTGGCTTAGTGGATAAAGCACCAGGCCTGAAGTCAGGAACACTTCTCTTCCTGAGTTCAAATCTGCCTCAGACATTTGCTAGCTGGGTGACCCTAGGCAAGTCACTTAACCCTACTTGCCTCAGTTTCCTCATCTGTAAAATGAGCTGGAGAAAGAAATGGCAAACCACTCCAATATTCTTGCCAAGAAAACCCCAAGTGGGGTCATGAAGAGTTGGGACATGACCAAAAAAAAAAAACCCCACTAAAACAACATTCCAGAAAGGAAAGATATAAGTCAGTGTGGTAATAGAATTAAAGAGTCTGCCCTAAAATTTAGGTTCTATATAAAGCAATGGCAGGTTTAACCATGTCACCCTCCACCACACACACACACACACACACACACACACACACACACACACACACCCCTCTCCGGGGTCAAGTATAAAATCCTGTTTGTGTTCTAAAGTCATTCGTAACCTGCCCCCTTCCTGTCTTTTCAGTTTATACTTTTTGATCCAGTGATACCATCCTCCTGACTGTTTCTGGTACAGCACATACCATCTCCTGACTTTGGGCATTTTCACTGGTTATACCCTGTGCTTAGAATTTTCTCCCTCCACATCTCCAGTTCCTGGCTCTCCTCAAGTCTCTGCTAAAAATTCCACTTTCTGGGGCAGCTAGGCGGTGCAGTGGATTGTGGTTTGTCCTTAGTTGTCAAAGAGGACCATGATATCAGGGAGATTATAACATGACTTGCAATTGACTTGGTTTGAGTGAGGGAGGGCTGTGATACCAAGTCACTGAACCCCAATTGCCTCCAAAAGAAGTAAAATAAAATTCTATCTTGTGCAAGAAGCATTAAGGTTCTCCTTAATGTCAGTGCCTTGTCTCTGCTATGATTTCCAGTTCATTCTGTGCGTATCTTGTTTGTACATGATTGTTTGCATGTTGTTCCCCCTTTCCTGATGGATCCCATTAACTTATGAGCTCCTTCAAAGCTAGGATTGTTTTTGCCTGCCTTTGTATTCCTAGCTCTTAGTACTACGCCTGGAACATAGCAAGCACTTAATAAATCCTTGTTGATTTGAATTGACCTTTTTTTTTTTTGGTGAGGCAATCAGGGGTAAGTGACTTGCCCAGGTTGAGACCAGATTTAAACCCTGGTCTCTATCCACTTGACTTGACCTCTTTTGCCTTTTTCAGTTTTATGTCTTACTCCACTTAGAAGGTGATGGTAGATATTTTGGTGACTCATCCATAATAACAACAAAAACAAAAACAGTTGGCTTTTATAGAGTGCTTTAAGGCTTATGAAGTGATTTATATAAGTTGCCTCATCTAGGCACAACTCTCTAAGTGTGGCCATTTTCTCCACTGGTAGAGGTTCCAAGCCATCCATACCTTCTCATCCTGAGAAAACCATTAATTGGAGCCTATGAAAAAGAAGGTGGCAGATGAATTCATGCATAATCCATCCTTCCACATATAACGCATATGAAATACATATGCTATAAGCACACATGCATTTATATTTCAATCTTATTGTGTTATACTTTTCAAAGTACTTTCACTTTCCCAACACTGTATAATTTGCTCCCGAATATCCCTCAACCCCATCCTGCCATGTCAGGCAGGCAAATCAGGGATAGACATTTCAAGTTCCTCTGACTCAGAAAAGTGAAGAATTCCAGTTCAACCATTCCATGGTTCTCATGCGCCATTTGAAAGTCAATATCTATTTTCCTTAAGTCAGGTTCAAAAGGAAGGAGTCACAGTAACTTTGATCCTGAGCCTAAGTATTCTTTTAAAAAATTATTTATTTTAGATTAATTTTTTAATTAACAAATTTTATTTTTTCTCTTCCACCCCACCCCCCCAACACTGAAAAAGAAAAAAACCTTTTAATATGCAAAGTCAACCAAAACAAATTCTTCCATTGGGCATGTCCAAAAAATGTCTTGTTCTGTACCCTAAGTCCATCACCTCACTGTCAGGAGGTAGGTAACATGCTTCCATCATTAGTCCTCTGGAATCATTATTTGACTGTGATTGTGTTGATCATCATTCTTAAGGCTTTCAAAGTTATTTGTTTTTACAGTTGTTATTGCATAAATTACTCTTCTTATTCTACTCACTTCACTCCGCATCATCTCATACAAGTCTTCCCAGGTTTCACTAAAACTGCCCCTTTCATCATTTCTTATGTGAGCCTAAGCATTCTAATAGTTTATTTTAGAGTTTGAAAGATGATTCGACTTCTAATAGAGATTATTTCAGAATTCTAATAGAGATTAGCTCACAATTCTAGAAGTGGTTAAGAAATTAAAACCTACCTCTTGATAGAAGATGTGATGTAGAGCAGAAATAACCAGGTTGTGAATGCTACTTAAATCTCTTGAATGGTGGGTTTAAGTCTCCTTCCACATCCCCTTTGTTTGTATTTAATTGAAATGTCTCCGTCTTTATAAATCCAGTTTGTTGGTATACTGGAAGTGATGTTTGTGCTTTGAAAAAAGTTGATCTATCAATTCCAGCCAAAATGGGGGTGGTCCATCAATCTCTCTCAATCTCATCTTAAATTATGAAGGTTGAAAAACCTGTAGGAATTGTGCCCAGAGAGCCGTTCATTGCTGGACCCCTTGATCAGGTTCTAGTTATTTGTGAGGAGCATCATCGACAAGATCCATGATTTGGTTGTACTACATGGCCTTTGGGGGCCCTTCCAAATCTATGATTCTAACAGATTGTTTTAGAATTCTAAGAGCTTGTCTCTTATAGGCTTATAGATCAGATAGGGGCCTCAGAAATAATCTAGTCCAACACCCTCATTTTAAAGATGAGGAAACTGAAGTCCAGGAAAATGATGGCTTACCCAAGGCCACATCAGTTGTAAATATTAAAAGCAGAGCAAGCCAGGTGTGGCTAGCACCAAGCAGTGGATAGAGCACAGGACTTGGAGTCAGGAAGATCTGAACTCATATCTGGCCTTGGACACGCCTAGCTGTGTGACCCTGGGCAAGTCACTCAACCTCTCTGTACCTCAGTTTCTTCATTTGTAAATATAGGGATAATAATAGCGCCATCTCTCGGAGTTTTTGTGAGGATTAAATAACATATTTGTAGAGCATTTCACAAAACTTAAAGCCCTATGTAAATGTAAGCTACTGTTATTGTTGGTGGGATTTGAACCCAGGTCCTCAGATTCTAGAGCCAGGACTCTTTCTACTACTATAGTGTCTTGGAAATGAAGAATGTTTAGTTAGTTTTTCCTTGGGTTCTTAATGATTCCAAAGTTTGCTCCTTGGAGATCAAGACTGCTGATAGGATAGAATCAATATTTTTTAAGAAGCAAAAACAAACAAAAAGTAAGCCTTCTCCATGGCCTATAGCTCATAGGTACAGACTACTGGAATATTATCCTTTAGAATCTCCATTTGATAAACTCTAGACTCCCTAAATCTAGAATAATTCACAAAGAACCAGGCAGCTTTTCCAGAAACTCTTTTCCCACGTGCGACAAAGAATACACAATTTGGCACGATTTTTCTTTTTTTTTTTTTTAACATTTATATTTATATATATAAAAAATTAAATATATATAATATATAGTGTGTTTAAGACTAAAAATATAGTACATAATATTTAAAAAAAAAGGAAAATGAAAAAGGCAGAATAGGAAAAGGTGTGAGGGATGCACAAATACACATTGCTAAAAATCTACGATGGTTTGTCCTAACAAAAATAATATATTTTTTCTCTTTTCTTAATTATCATCATGGATCCATTCATTTAATACTGAGGACCTGGGGAAGGAATTTCAACTTTAGAGGGACCATGTATGCAAACCTGATAGAGGCTTAGACAAAAATGGCAACCATAGTTCTGATCCTCTTTTTTTGTGCCTGTTGGAGGCTAACTCTTCCAGGTCACTATTGCTAATGAGATTGTATCAGGAGCTAGACTGCCCCCTTTCTAGATGAAGGTGAATTCTGGGTGTATGGCATCAGGAAATCTCCAGATGTGTAAAGCATGGGGTAGGGAGAGTGGGGAGTGTCCACAGTGCATTGATTCTATTGGGAGGGCCACAGCACATTAGCACCTCCTGAAATAGAGCCAATGCGAGGGCCTAGAGAAAAGTCAGGAGGCAAGCAAAGAATGATTAACAGTTATATGCGGGTGATTATTATTATTACTGTTATTATTATTTTTAAGGGCAGGTTCGTACCAGGACTGCCCAGTATGGCCTGTGACTTCTCTGCAGCAATTATCTCTCCAGGGATAGGACCTGGAGCTCACTCACAGTGATGCAAGGAAGCAAGATTTCCCCCCTCCCCCCCTTTAAAAAATTCTGGAATCCTCCCAGCCCAGTTCAACCAAACCCCAGTTTATCCCAAAGTTCAGCCCAGTTATCAGAAGGAATATAGTTGTGGCCAATGGAACCTAAGAGGGTGGAATGGCTTGTAGTGGACACTGTTGAGACATATTTAGGAGTAAGAGACACCATTATGGCCTGGGGGGGTGAGGGAGGCAGGAAAAGAATGTGAAGGACAGGGGATGTTAAATTTCTTTTCTCACCTCTTAACAAAAATAAAGCTTTTCAAATTACATTACACCTGTGCATTTCAATACTTCATAATCCCTACCCCAATGCTCATGGGGAAAGGGGCTTTATAAATTCCATCTAGGCAAATCCCTCCATTATACATCAGAAGGGCCAACAGAGGCACAGAGAGGTGTGGTGATACCCAAGGTTGAACAGCAAAAGGGAGGAGAGACATTAAATTTCTGAGAGGAGGACACCCTTATAAGGGTCATGAGCTAGGAAATTGGATCCAAGAATTAGAATGGCTAGTGAGAGTGGGAGAAAACATGCAAAATGAGGACTCATCCAGCTCATGTGAGTCTTTTAGATGTCAAACTAAATGACAACTCCACAGTGAAGCTTTTAAACCTGAATGACCCACCTTACAAGTCTACGTGGATAAAACAAATTGGAAGACTGCCTAATTGCCACTTCAGGGAGTCCAGAGGTTAGGGGAAAAGAGATCTCAGAACCATGTGCCCTGGAATCTCCACTGTGCTTTTCCCCCATGCAAAACATTGAAATAAGATGAAGAAAACACCCCTAGAAATCTTAGAGAAAAGAAGTTGCTCATTTGGGCTTGAGAGCAGTTATATTTCTTAAAGATAGGAGAATAGACACACTAACCTTCCTTTTCCCCTCACCAAAATGGGAGATGGTAAACCACAGATCACATCAACGATGCCCTTATCTCCTAACTCCTGTTTTTGTCTTTGATCATATCCACCAATGGATTTGGCGGGCAGATTTAAAGGGGCATAAGATTCCATAGTGACATGGATAACAGAGACCATGGCTAAAGTTGAACTCCACATAGCATAGTATGATAGTATAAATCACCCTTCTCTTCCCTTACCCAACTTGGGAGAGAGAGGATGCTTGTCCAAAGAAATCACCACCCCTACCCAAAGCACAAGTGAAATGGTCTCTTCAAGATCTAAGACTGTACAAAAGCTGTAAAGTTCCTTTACCTCCCACTGCCAATTCTCTCCTCTTATTATCAACTCTTCTCTTGTTCTTTTATATCTTCTCTAATAGAAAGGTCACTGATGCTTTACTTCACCTTCCCCAAAGCAGACCAGGACAGGTCCTTGACCTCAGAATTAGATGCTTCTGCACAGAGTAGGTCATTCTAAGGGCCATACCTGTTACCTGTGGGGGAGCTTCCATCCCTCCAGGATATGAGAATCTCTAATTCCTTTGCTTCTGTCGTCAAATTATTAAGCTCCAGAAAACAGGTACTTGTCCATCCTTCCCCAGGATGGGAATGTTTACAGATGTCTTTGCAATAATCAACCCTTAAACTCTGAGTGGAGAAATGAAGCTATATGATTAATCCAAAATTAATTTTGCTTTGAGGTTTGGAATGTGTTTCTGTTTATGAATGTTTATATAAGTGTAGCCTGATATTCTGGAAATTCACTTCATTTCTAACCAAAAGATGAAGCCCCATAATGAAAACTCAAAGAGGAGATGGAATGCTGTAGGTCTTTCCTATTGACCTCCTTGCTGATTCTCAGCTTTTTACTCACACTGGGGACAGATGGTATCATAAGTCATACAGACATATATATGTATGTATTTATGTATACACACACATATATACGTGTGTGTGTATATACACACACATACATCTTAATGAGCTATTTCCTTCCTTTCCAAGCTTGCTGCCTATATGGATCATAACTTCCCCAGGAATGGAGAAAATGATGAAGGACTTAGGTTTCAAAGGCCTGTTCAGTAGCTGGGCTCAAGCATAGGGAGGGAACCTCAAACTCTCTTTCCTCCCATAGGGCTATAGTTGGAGCGAAAAGTCTACAAATGAGTAGAATGTTCAAGGAGGAGGAAGGAGAATTGCCTGGGCTAAATGGTAAGATGGATAACCTAGAGCTAGGTAATGCAAGTGCATCAAAAACCCTCTAGGAGAGTTACCTCTGGGCTTCAGTCCAGTTTCTGATACTCTCCCCTCCTCCCACCCCCCACATTGACTCAGGCCCCACTTTCTTCAAGTGGTTTCAAGAGCCCACCAAATTACCCACACTTCCCTGGGGCCTCTTCCATTCCAATTACCTAGCCAGGGTTGAGGGAATGTAGGGGGAGAAGCTAACATTTGAATTGAACAGAGAAAACATTGAGAGCTCAGCTTGGAAAGAAGAGAAACAGATAAATATACATTTTTGACATGTCTTCACTGGCCACTCTTAAGTCAAAACCCTTTGGTTTTTCCATTTAAAAAAATCAACCAATCAGATTATTTTCAGATTTAGATCCCCTAGGATCTCTGGATTTTTCTCTCCTTTAGCCCAGATGATTGACAGCTGGATTTGTTTATAGACACCTATATCTTTAAGAAATCTTCCTAGAGAGCTTTCCTCACGAACAACTTCAAAGGAAGTTAACTTTTAGATGTAGAAGTTTGGAACTCATCAGATGTCTCCAATATGTGACCCACCTCAAGCACCACCCTTGAATTATAAATGAGTAACCTGTATATTTGGAGCCAGGGCCTACTTCATAAGTAGAACTCTGTTCTTACACAGGAGAGGTTGGGTGAATGTCATCCCACAGACCCATCCATAAGAGTGTTGATGGTGCGTAGCTGATGAGCATGTAGCTCGTTAACATGAACAGGATTAATGAACAGTGACCACCAAAAAGGAGCATGGTGCATTCTGGGAAATAATCTATGGGAAACTGACCAGAGGCTCCACAGCTGCTTCTCCCCTCCAAAAAGAATAAGATGAGTCCTGCTTTTAATTTCTTTTGGAGGGGTGGGGGATTGGGCAGGGTCTAAGCCTACTCCTTCAGCTTCTATTCTCTTTGGTTAGAAGGGTGGAGACTGAGGGACAGGTCCCAGGAAGAGAGATTGGAACACTTAGGGACCTAGGGATGGGATGGGGAATGAGGTTACTTTTTAGAATTCTACCACCCAAAGGAACATATGTTCTCCCTTGGTGGTGATTTCTGGGTATTAATCTCTCTTCCTAATCACCCCTCCTACGAGGATTAGTAGGAGGCACCTGGCTCCCCCCAGCAGGGTAGTCAACAAAAGTTTGATGTTCAAGGCACTGAAAGTGAACTAAATGTTCTGGCTGAGCCAGAAGAAACAAACAAAAGACACTTTAACAGAAAAACCCATCTGAGGACATCCCTGGAAGTTCCTACCCTTCAGGAAAAGGTCTTCCTAACCAATCCTTCCCAGGTTATGGCAACTCAGCCTGTGAGTCAGACCACTTGACGGGTTCCACTGCCTGAATAAATAAGGATTCAAAGTGCTTGGAGACTGGAAGTGTGATGGACAATGCCCATTCCTGGGTGAGAAGCAGAGGCCACTCTTGCCCATCTGGGCTTCTGCCTTCTCCCTCTCTTCTTTACTGGGGCTTACATTTGGGAGGGCACTTTTTTTTTTTGAGATAGTTTCACTGTTGTTTGTTTTTTGTTTCCTGAAATTTATGAAAATAGTCTACTGGCTCTTAGTTGCCCTCCACACTACCTTGGTCTATCCCTCTGCACCCCTTTCCTACCCAGAGACAAAGACAAAGGAGGGCATAGCTAGGGAGAGATGAGGCTGATAGTGATGGTGGTGAGGTGGGTGGTAGTGGGAAGACAGAGAGGTCAGGGCTCCCTCTGGTGCCAATTCTAAGTACTGCACCAAAGCACATTTATCCCCTTTGCTGGTGAATTGCGACCAGAGTCTCTGGTGTTTCCTCTATTGTCCCTTGAATCATTGATTGTTCTGCCAGGCCAGGTATTTGCTGGTGGGAACAGGCCTAAGCATCACTTTAAACCTATGTACCCTATTACTCCTAGTCAAATGATCTTTCCACCGTACCATGCTGTCTTTCTAAAGGAGGGAACAGGGCTAGACAAGGAGATACTGGGGAAATCTAGTTCCCCATGGAGGGGACGGAACATAGAAGCAGCAGCTGTGGCTAGCTGCAGGAATATTTAGGTTCTGGTTGAACTTGACTGTATTTGAACTTGCAACTAGGGTCACCCTTGAACTAGGATTTGAGTTTCTTTGTCCAGACTCCATATAGGGCAAATTCAGGGTGTGAGAGCAAATGGCAGAGGGCCCAACCAGGAGCTCCTGAGTCACATTATTGGTGGTATGCCTGTTCTTCCCTACTAAGGACTCTCATAGCCCACAACCTGGCCACTCCTGTTCAGCATCCCCCTTCCTCCAAAGCAAGATCCCCACTTCAAGGGAGACAAGAGGGGGAGCAGAGAGACAGAGACAGAGACAGAGACATACACCAAGAACAAAACATAACTCTCTGTCACTTCCCCAGCCCCTACTCTCCCTGCCTCCATGCTGGGGAGTGGGGGAGATGAAGGAGTAGGGAGTGGGACAGACCAGAAGAGACAAATCTCCCCAAGGAGAGAAAGCAGAATAGTCCCAAGTGTTCAGGGTATGAAGCACCATCCTTGGGATAGGGGGTGTTTCAGACACATATTCTTCCCCCCAACAGCAGTAGGAGGAGAGCTGGGGCAGGGGTTGAGGGTGAGGGGAAGATAGGTTGAAGACGGAAGCAAACAGCAATGCCCCTGAATATCAGGGAACAGTCAAGAGAGCCTTCTCCTCTGCCCTGCAGAGACACCCACCCCAGGCTCCCTACACATGAGTCTGCATCCTCTGCTGGAACCTCTGGCCATAGTCTGAGTGCTGGGATGTGTAGGAGAAGCGAGTAGCTGTGGCATACTTGCCTATGGGGTCATAAGCCTCATAGGGGGTCCGCTCCAAACCTGGGGGAGGGGGCTGAGAGTAGCCAAGCCGGTAAGTAGGGTAGTTGGCTGCCCCAGGGAAGGGATGGGGGCCGAATTTCTCATAGTTCTCATAGGAGAGCTGATTGGCTTGCTCACCACCACCTGGGGGTGGAGGGCCAGGGGCAGGGGGTTCAGGGCCATAGTCAGGGGCAGGGCCCCGGGTGTAGGTGTTGAGTTGGGCATAGCCGCTGGCATGAGACAGACGGGAGGAGGGGCGGGCATCAAAGCGGGCAGGGCCTGGAGCACGGTAGTCGGCGTAGAGGACGGCCCGGGAAGAGGGGCGGTCTTCATGTGCACGGACATTGTAGTAGCCATTGGTGGGGTCCTAGAACACGGGAAGGGAGAAAAGAAACAGGAACAGTTAGAGAGAAACTTTCCCCTAAGGCTTGGGACCCAATCCCTGTGGCCTGGCTAGGCCTTTCCCAACACTTCTGCCATATCTGGGTCATGTTCCTAGTGCCTACTCTTCTCTGACTCTGACCTATTCCATGTCTCACCTCGGAGCTTCAACTAGGGCAAGGTGGTTAAGGCTCTGTCCCAGGGTGCCAAAATGTAGAAGATGCTAAGGACACTTATATTCCTTTAGCAGTATGGAAATAGCTTAGCTTAAAATTGAGTTAGCAAAAATAATTAGTTAAAATAGAAAGCTCCCAGATGGTTTACACTTTTTGCCCCTGGCTGATGTGACCACTGGAGTGGTTTCAATGTGTCCCTTTTTCCCATCCACCCACCCCACCCCCCTACTTCAAATAAACTTGTCTTTAAAAGTTAATTTTGGGTCACTTCCCACACAGCTTCCCCTAGGCACAAAAATTGATAGCTACAGATCTGCCTCATATCCCTCATTCCACCACCTCCCCATCCCCACCGCCCTGACCCTGCCAATTCCGGGACTCCCACTCCAGACCTTCATCTCATACTCTTCTCTAGTGTCGTCGCAGCGAAGGTCCTGTTTCAGATCCACATCATCCTTAAATGACTATGGGGACAGGAGAGTAGATGGGAGTAAGAGGTTAAGTAGTTAAAGGCAAAGGGCCATGCCACCTTCTGCTAAAGAAGTGAGGGCAAGTGCCCAACATGGGAAGCCAGGAGACCCGGTCCTTGGTCTGCTCCTGACTCAAAGTATGACCTTGGACAAATCACCTCCCTGCCCTAAGACTTTAGTTTCCTTACCTGTAAAATGAAGGTGTTCTATTAGATGAGTCCTAAGGTCTTTCCAGCTTTAAAAAGCTACAATTCTAAAAAAGTCATGGGGTGAGGGTGGGATATCCCCCAGGTTACAAATGGGGCATATGTGTGGCAGCCTGAAGGTAGCCTGCCTTATCTGCCCTTACCCAGGGAAAAACTTGCCTTTTCTAGGAACTCTGTCCAAGGCAGAATTTCCCTGGCATGGTAGTTTCAAAACACAAAGGCTAGGCTCAGGAAAAAGAGTAGCCAGTGGGAGAAATGGTGGAGGGAATTGTGCCCTGGGCCCCTCACCGAATAGATGGCCTTCATAACTCTGGTGGCAGTAGACACACTGGCAGTGTCATCCTCCCGGTCAGGGTGCAGGGTGAGAGGCTCACGGTTCACTGTTTCCACCTTGATGTCTAGCTTTCTCAGAGTCACATCTTTTCGGCCTAGGGTTAAAGGGAAGGTAGACGAGCATTAGCTGAAATGAGTCTGTGGCATCTTCTGCTAAGGATATCAGTTCTTTCCTCTCCTCACTCCCACTCCCAGGAAGGGGTGTTGTAGAATCCATTTTGTCAGGAGGCCATGGGGTGGGGCAAGAGGGGGAAGGAATCCTGGCAAGGAGGTTTCCGAGCAGAGGTGGACAGGAGGACCCCAGTTAACTTAGAAACTATACTCACTTCCTTTGCGGCGCCTGTAGAGGAAGAAGACAAGGGCAGTGAAGAAGAGAATGAGGAGGATTCCTGCACCGATTGTAGCCCCAGCAATGATGCCCACAGGAAGAACTTCTGTGGAGGAAGGGCGGGGAGTAGTGTTGAGGTCATACTGGGGTAAGAGTCAAGGGTTAAGTTTGGGGAGAAGGTTTATTTTGGGATCAGAGCCAAGGCTTGGGGAGAGGGTTCAGTTTGGGGGTAAGGCTAAGGGTTATATTTGTAGTAAGTGTTCAGTCTGGCATCAAAATTAGGGTTAAATTTGGGGTCACAGTTCAATTTAGAGTAGAATTTAGGATTCAATCTGGGCTTAAGCAAATTTTAGGAAATACCACAAGTAGCTTTTAAGTTATATTTATGTTTAAATTTAAAACTGGCATTGGGTTTTCAGAGATGTCAAACTTGTGGCCTGCCTCCTCAAATCAGGCAAAACTCCCAGGTGGGGTCCAAACCAAATTAATGTAATTGGGAAATGTTTAACAAAATAAATAAATAAAAATACACTACAATGTAAATAATGTTAATTTGTGGTTTTCTAAGTCACTATTCAGTAAGCTGTGCAGGGATCCATTTCTATTTCAGTTTGACACTACTGGTTTACATTAAGGTTTAACATTAGGATTAGTTTTAGGGGAAAAGTAAAGGTTGGGAGTGGTTTAGGATTAGGCTAAAACCTGAACTAGGTTTTGGCATGGTTTTAAGATTAGGGTTAGAGTTGAAACTAAGTGAAATGTGGTGCTAGAGTTAGATTGGCCCTCAAACAGGATACAATAAAAATGTGCTACTAATACCTAGTGTGTGCAGAGCGCTGTCCTAGGTTCTGATGAAGACACAAAATTTAGATGAGCTATGTTCCCTGCCCCTGTGGACCTTACAATCTATCAAGGGACTTAGTTACCAGAGTATAGTGGAATGTAAGTTTTCTGGGGAAAGGAACCACTTCATTTTTGTCAGTCACAACCTCTCAATAGGGGCTCAAAAATGTTTAGTAGTTAAAGGAACAAGGAATGTTTAGCCTGGAGAAAAGACTTGGAGGGTATATAACAGGTACCTTCAAGTATCTGAAGGACTCTCATGTGGAATAAGAATTAGAGTCTGCCTCAAAGGCAGAACTAGGAGTAACATGTGGAACATGTAGAGGCAGATTTTAGTTCAATATAAGTAAAAACTTTCTAACAATTAGACCTTTTCACCTGTGAGGTAAAATTTCTTGAGGCCTAGTCTGGAGCTGCTCTCAGGGCCTGCTGTTTGTTGATTCAGCTGAGTTGGCCTGGAGGTGTCTACACTTCACTAAGGCCAAACCTCAGCCCCTGGAGACCCTGTCTTCTGAGGTCCTCTCAAGTTATTGTAGGAGGACAATTGCTTTGCCCCTTTATTTTTCTCTATGTTCATTTCATGGCAATTTTCTGTTCATGGAGGAAATCTGGAGAGCCTGGAAATATCTGAACTACTTTGCCATCTTCCCAGAATGCCCCCACCACACCTTCATATTAGTTTTTAGGGCTAGATTGGTCAGCTTATTCCGTTCCCTCTCCTCATCTGCCAGAAAGTCTAGGTCACTGTTCTTTAGGCCAGCCACATATCTGTTTGTCTATCCACTCCTTTCCCATGCAGACATTGAGCATCTATGTAGTAATCACTTAATAAATGCATGTAGCTTGACTGACCCCCCAACCAATAACCTTGGGTCTAACCTCCTGTGGGCCATTAGCCCATAGCTTCAGCTTCTCACCAGGTTTGAGAATAGATCTAGAAACTTTATCTCCTTTACTCTTCTTCTTCCTCAGAATCGCATTTCATTTCAGATCTTGTCCAAGATTCCTTTTATTCCAAAAGCCTCCCCTGATGCATTACACACACTGGAACTTTCCTGCACAGGCATTTTTAAATGCCCTTGTCAATGTGTCCCTTCATGTGATCTCAAATGACTTTCCAAGTGAGGTATACTATTCTCTCTATCACAACGGGAGCTGCTGGGGTCAGAGACCAAGTCTTCTTCATCAAGTTGTAAGCTTCCCTTAAGTAAGGACCCTTTCTATTTATCCTATGACATTAAAGAGAGGACTGCCACCAGAACAGAGAGGGGCCTTGAGTTTGTGCCGTATGAAGGCAGGTTGGAAGACCTGGGGACCTTTCACATAGAGAAGAGTAACCTCATGGAGCCCAGATAGTAGTCTTCAAATGTCTCAAGGACTGTAATATGAGAGAGGGATTAGATTGGCTTTGTTGGGTCCAGAGAGCAGAAAGAACTAGGAGCAGTGGGTGGCAGTTGCCAAGAGGCAGATTTTTCAGCTTGATGTAAAGAAAAATTTATTAACAATTAATTATCCCAAAGTGGTGTGAACTGCCTTGGGAAATAGCAAGTTCCTCCTCATGGGACGTCTTGGAGCAATATTGGATATTTTTGAATAATACCATCCATTGGAGGCTGGATGACCTTTGGGGGGGTATGTAGTAGAAGGAATTCGTGACATGTTGGGCTACATGGCCACTGACATCTCTCGTAGCATTGAAAGTCTGTGATTTTGCTACTAGGAGATCTTGGAGGGCAAAGATAGGGTCTTTTTATTCAACCAATCAATAATTAATATATTTTATTAAGCACCTATTATAATGCTAGGTACTGTGCTAAGCACTTTTCCCCTCAGACACTTGCCTCCCTACCCATCCTGATTCTAAATATATTGTTCAGGGTTCTAAGCAATTATTTTCGTCTTTCCCCAAAGAACCAATTACTATTTATTTTTGTTCTTCCAAAATACCAGCATTCTCATTTCATCCTGAGATAAGGTATACAGGACATTCCCCAGTTTGGACCTTCCCCATGCCCTTCTCCCACTGGCACTATGACTTTGTCACTCCTGTCGCAGCTCAGGACAGAAGAGGATGATGACTGAATCCTGCTATGTGCCCTGCTTCTGGAGTGAAATGCCTGTGTGCTCCAACACCTCTCCACCCTCCCCTCCCTAGCTTTCCCCTTCCTTCTCTTCCTACCTTTCTCCTCCAATGTGATAATGGCTGTGCCTGGCCCAAAGCTATTCCAGGCTGTGCAGTTGTAGTGGGTCTGGAAATCAGCCTCCATGACATTGTTGATGGTCAGGGTGGAAAGTACCCCACTGCCCGAGTTGGTCCTCTCCACAGTGTACCTCTCCAGAGTCCCCACCTCCAGGAAGTTCTCCTTCCAGGCCCAAGCCTAGGAAAGAGAGGAGGACAGAAGTCAAGGAGTAGTAAGAGGTGTGTACCCCTAAGCTTTTCTGCTTCATATCATTGCCCCCTGAATCCCCATTCTATTTAAGAGTTACAATATTTAACTGCAATTCAAATGCAATGTAATTCTCCAACTAACCATAAACCCAACAATGATCCTAAAATGAATCGCACCTTACACTTAGCATTATTGTCGTTTAGTCATTTTAAGTTGTGTCTCTTTGTGACCCCATTTGGGGTTTTCTTGGCAGATAGTGGAGTGGTTTGCCATTTTCTTCTATAGCTCGTTTTACAGATGAGGAAACTAAGGCCAACAGGATTAAGTGACTTGCCTAGGGTCCCCCAGCAAGTACATCTCAGTAAGTGTCTGAGGCTGATTTGAAGTCAGGTCTCCTTGACTCCAGGCCTGAGCACTTTATCCACTGCCCCACCTAGCCGCCCCACTCAGTATTAACCCTTACCACAAACCAGTAACAACCTTCACTATAGTAACCTTAGTCTTAACCTAACATTAACCTAATCAATTAAATGTAACTTTAACCCCAACCCAAGATTAACCTTAGGGCCAATTAACCACAACTTCAAACCTAGCCTTAACCTAACTCCAACTCCAATCTTAACTATATAATTAACCTTACCCCTAATTTCTACTTTAACCTTCAACTTAAAAATTTAAACAATCTAGACTAAGCTGACCTTTAAACCAATCTATAGATTACAAGAACAGGTCAGTCCAAGAGCATTAGCCTCTAATACCACCACACTTGTGCTCCCTAGCTGGGAGGTCTAGTCCAGAATCACCTCCTCCACCCCGTGGGAGACCAGGAGCGGGGTTATGTTAGCTGCTGGGATCTGGCTCTTTTCCAGGGATAAATCCTCCCGGATGTGCAAAGGAACATCCCCCGGGGAGCCTATCATTCCTGCAGCCCAGGCTGCCGTGGTAATGAAGTGTCCCCGTGCAGCCCTGGAGTTAGCCAAATGGTCATTAAATGTGATGAGGGGTTTGACGGTTAATGGTCACGGAAGGAATTAATGGCTCAGAGTGAGGGGGAGGGGCATGGGGGAAGCAGAAGAGGGCTGGTTGACATGGAGAACAGAGTAGGAAGACAAAGGCAAGAGAGGAGGTAAAAAGGGGCAAGAGGGAAAAAAGGAAAAAGGGACAAGAGAAGAAGAGGAAAAAATGAAAAAGGAATGGAAAATATTAGGGTGAAAACTTCATAAGAAAAGAAAGAGTTAAAACAGGAAGGACAGAAAGGGGCAGAGAACAAGAAATTGGAGAAGGGAAAGAGTGGCAGAGAGATAAGGAATATGTTGATGCTGAGATGAGCAGTCTCCCCAGTACTCACAATTCGGTCAGGGGGTGGTGTACTCCCAATGAAACATTCCACCTTGCCACCATCCCCACGAATAGCATATTGCACAGCCTCGCTGGAGATGATGGGGGGCCCTAGGAGACAGAGAGATGCATCTGCAGTCCTGGTGCCTCAGCCCCCAGGTTCTCCCCCCACACTTCTTACCCAACACTCAGCTTACCATTTACAAACAGTGCCACTTCTCGCTCAGCCACACCAATTCGAGGCACAATGGCCCTGCAGGTATAGATGCCCGCATCTGCCTGGGTTACTGATTTCAGGTAAAGCTGGTTACTGTTGCTTAAGACCTGGTCAGAGAGAGCAACCTCAGGAGTGGAACCAGGATGCCTCCTTTCCTTAAGCAATTCAAGGCTCCACACGACATCAGAGGGAGAGTAAGAAAGGGAGCTGGTGAATCCCGGAGCTGAAATGGGGCCCTAGAGACTACAAGCCCCACCCCCGACCCCCAGTTTAGTTCTGGGAGAGGGAACAATTTTCTTTTGGTTGGGATAAATTCCTAGCCTCCTGAAGTTGCCCACACCTGGGTTTCCTGACGCAGTCAGGCAAGAGGCTCTTCTTTCTATCTGACTAAAATCTCACTTGTTGCAATTTGGGTTCAATCTCTCAAACATGACTTTTTTTCCTTCTCTAAGGTGAAGCACACCAATTATTTTAATCTTCCCCCAAAGAACCAATTAGTATTCATTTTTGTTCTTCCAAGACACTAGCATCTTCATCATCCTGAGATGAGGTAGGCAGGACATGCCCCAGTCCAGACCTTCCCCATACCCTTCTCGAACTGGCACTAATCATTTTGTTCCTCCTCTTGCCTTTGACCAAGACCAGCTGCTCTCTGGGGTTCTTTCTCATGCTCCACAAAATATTTCAAAAATGGCTGACACTTACATAGGTCAAGTTTTTCAAAGCACTTTACATCTATCAACTCATGTGATCCTCAAAACAACCTTATGAAATAGGTATTACTATTATCTCCATTTGTATATGAGTTTGCCCATTGTCACACAGCTAAAAAAGTGTCTGAAGCGGGATTCTAATTCAGGTCTTCCAGATTCCAAGTCTAGCACACTATCCGCTACGTAAAACTGCCCATCCTGGTCCAAAGCTTAAGATATGTGGTAGGGACTCTCTACTCCAACATCCCAACCCTGAGCATGCCTGGATAGCCTGAAAGGGGTGTTACCATGTTGGAGTCCTTCTTGGTCCAGGTGAGGGTGAGAGGAGGATTGCCAGCCCACACGCATGTGATGGTAACGTCAGAGCCGATGTCTGTGGTTGTGGGTTTGGGGTCAACCACGATCCGGGGGGCAACTGAAGTAGAAAGGAGAGGCTTGTTAAGGGTCCCAATCTCATCAGGGTGTACCTTCCCATACCAACTATCTCGATTTCTCTTCTACTCACTCTCCTAGCATGATTCTATTGTTTTTCAGCTTCCCTTAAATCTTTCCTCAGTCCCTTCTTCTCTCAAATAGTCTGGACCCAGTAGGGGAGAAGAGAGAAATGAGGGAAAGGGCCAGAAAGGAGATAGAGTTGCATTTCTTTCTTCCTTTCCTCTTCCTTCTTCTAAGGCTATCTCTATTCAGGAAGTGACTTCAAATCACACCCAAGAGCCACTAGCCTTCAGGCTTCCTGGCCATCCTACCATGGCCCACTCCCATGTTCCCAAACCATTGATAACTTACAGTGGACATCCACCAGTGTGCTGACATTGGTGCTCCCTACATCATTGTGGACCTCGCAGGACACAGGCTCCGTAAAAAAGGAGTAATCAACCTTTGTCTCATAGCGACTCTCATGAGCATCTTCAATTAGAATCCCACCCTTGGCCCACCTGAGGGACAAGAGAAAAGAGCGATCTGATTCCTTTATACCATACCCTCCTGGCAACCTGACTGTTCATAGATATCCCTGCCTGCTCATGTCTCTATGCCCAGGTCCCCTCCCCATCTCCTCCTCTCTCTCCTACCCCCCTCCTCCTTTTTTGCCACTATCCCTCTAAAACATGTTGCTCTCCCCAGTATCACCTGTATTCTACCTGTCTCCCTGAACCCACTTCCCTCTCACTCAGTGCCCACCTCAGCCCCTCTCCCTTTCCCATCACCTGTAGCCTTGGATTTCAGGGTTAGCTGTAGCCTGGCAGGTGAAGACAACTCGCTCCCCTTCCTGAACAGTCTGGGGTTGGATGGACAGGGTCACAGTGGGTGGGTCTACATAACAGAGGGGAAGAAGGAAGTCAGGACCAGTCAAATCTGAAAAGAAGCCTTCCTGTCCTTCTCCCCAATTCCCCCATTTCCTGCCCCCCCCAACACTGGGACAGACACACAGGGCAGGAAAATCAGGAACCTAGGTTCAAAATTTATCAATGGCATTGAATAAATTACCTTCCTTACCCCTGTCCCCAAGGGATTATTGCCCTCATGGCTTTTAGGGGATTGAAAATAAAGATGGAGACTTAAAAGTCCATGAGGAGAAAAGCTACAAATTCAGGAGCAGAAAGGGGTATCTAGTCTAACATAACACACACACACACACACACACACACACACACACACACACATTTTACTGATGAAGCCTCCATTTTACAGATGAAGAAACTGAGGCCTAGGAATATTAAATAAATCACCTAAGGGGAGGGACTGTGTCTTTTGTAAATAAGACATCTCTCCTGGCTCTTAGTAGACATGCTGGAGACAGCAAATGCTCAATAAAATGCTCATCATGGGTGGAATGAAGATGATGAAGCAGAAGGAGCCCTGGATTTGGAGTTGGAAGACCTGGGTTCAAATCCCAGCTCTGCTACCTGGGTAATCCTAGGCAAGTTATTTGAGTTGAGTTGAATTGATGTCTCTGGGCCTCACTTTTCTAATCCATAAAATGGAATGGATTAGAAGATTTCCAAAGTGCCTTACAATTCTAAATTCTATGATTGAGTACAAAGTGCAAGATTCTGAATGGATGCTTCTGTGGGTACCATTACATATAGCTGTCAGTAGGCGGCGATGTTACTTCAATCAGAAGCATGGTCAATCCTCAGAGCAAGAGTAACCTTGCAGTTCCTATTGCTATGCCCCCACCTTGGAATTCAGGGCTGACCATTCTCCCAAACTGGCCAAAAACATTGCCTTTCTTTTTTTATCCTCAAAGGGGAATGCTAAAGGTGAAATGGATCTCCGCCAGAGGTAGGTAGATTCCCTTACTGGAATTTTTCAAGCACAGACCAGATGGTCAACCACTTGCCAGGGATGCTGCAGAGTTTATCTGTTCAGGTAGAGGCTGGACTTGGTGGCCTGTGAGGCACCTTGCAGCTCTGGGATTCGGTCATTCTAAGTAGTGTGGTCACTCATTGAAAGCCTTTGCCCAGCCTGCTCAGGAGGAATGATTTTATAGGGCCATGCTTCTCCTGCCCCACCCTTTATTTTCCCGAATCATGTGCTTTTAGAGATAAATAGAAGATAGGTCATCAAACCCCTCATTGTACAGGTGAAAGGAAGTGATATATTTGTCCAAGGTCACACAGATAACAATAACAACAACAATAACAAGGAAGAAGAAGAGGAAGAGGAGGAGGAAAAGGAAGAGGAAGAAGAAGAAGAGGAAGAAGAGGATGAGAAGATGAGGAAGAAGGAGGAGAAGAAGGAAGAGGAGGAAGAGGAGGAGAAGAAGAAGATGATGATGAAGAAGGACAAGGAGAAGAGGGAGGAGAAGGAGGAAGAGGAGGAGAAAGAGGAGAAGGAGGAGGAGGAAGAGGAGAAAAGAAAGAGGAGGAGGAGACCAAGTTAGAATTTGTATAGAACTTTAAAATTTGCAAAGTGCTTTAAATAGGTTAACTCAGTTGATTCTCACAATAACCTAGGAGGTAGATATTATTAAATGGCCATCTTATAGATGAGGAAACTAAGGCAAATAGATGTTAAATGACTTGCCCAATGTCATAGTTAATAAATGTCTAAGGTGTGATTTATACTCAGTGCCAACTCTGGATTGTATCTATTTAGTGGCCTAGGGATTTAAACTTTCATATTCTGACTCTAAATCTGGAGCTTTTTCTACTGTACTCTATTTCCTCTACACACAGCAATCCTGCTCCTCCACACCCCCAGGCCCAGGCCATCCCCGTGTTGCCCCGGCTCACGATGCACGTTGAGCTCGATAGAGGTCTCCTTCCCACCAGGGATGGCTTCATTGGTGCTTCGGCAGGTGAAGACACGCCCAATGTCCAAATCCGTGGGGTAGATGAGCAGCTGGCTGATTGTGGTCTCCCTCTTTCCATCTTTTAGCACCTCCTGGTGGTGGGATTGGGGTGTTAGAAGAAAGGCAAAAAATCAAAGTAAGACAAGAATAACCCACCCATCCTTTTAGGAATTAAAGCTGGGTTTTCTAGGGAGAAGGGAGAAAACATGGAACTCTAACCCTAAAGAGTTGTCCCATTTCTGCTGCCTAGGGTCTTAGGTTTCACCTCCTCCATGAAGCCTTCCATGCCTTCCCTCAACCCACAGTGACCTCTCCTTCCTTAGAACTCCTACAGCCTTTACAAGTCTACACTACTCATTTGGTTTTTAGTATATACTGCCTGGTAGAGTTATTTGTTTTTTTCATGAATATATATCTTATCTCCCCCAAAGGGACTATAAACTCCTTAAGGGTAGGCATAGTGTCATTTTCTTATGTAGCCCTTTACATGCTAAGCACAGTGCTCGGCATTCATTCACTCAACATATTTATTATGCACCTACTGTGTGCAGATCATTGTGCTAGAATCTAGGGAGAGGCAGAATTTAAATAACCTTTGGTCCTTGCCCTTGACACATTTACAATCTAGTAGGTGGATAGGACCCATTCATAGATAATACAAAAATGCATAATTATGTGGTAAGTGCAACAAAGAGATGCAAATCATTATGTGAGATTTGAGGAGAAGGGAAGGATGTTGTGGGCTGAGGAAGGCTTACTGGAGGAGGTGGCATTTGAATTGAGCTTCAAAGGATGGATAGAAATTAAAAATGTGGAGAGAGACAGACAGACAGACAGAGAGACAGAGACACAGAGACAGAGAGAGAGAGAGAAAGCCCATTCCCTGATAGGGACTGATCTGAGCAAAGTCAATAGAGGTGAAAGAATGCTAGAGATGTGTGAGGGTCAGACACACTTTTCTAGTTTGGCTTCAGTGTAGAAAAATATAAGATAAACCTAGAAATACAGGATAAGGGTACCCTTATGAAGGGTACAAAGGAGTTCTATAAATACTTTCTTACTGTTTAACCTCAATTAATCAGTGAGATGGGATCCAGATGACGAGGATGAGGTGGGGTCTGATTGAGGAATTTTCTTTTTTTTTTAATGGGAACAGGGAGACAGGGTGATGCCCATGTTGGGTAGGTAAGTTAAGACTAAGAACAAAATGTGGATGGAGGGATGCCCTGGATCCCAATTTGTTCAGTCATTTTTCAGTCATGTCTGACTTTGTGACCCATTTTGGGGTTCTTTTGGCAAAGATAATGGAGTGATTTGCCATTTCCTTCTCTAGTTCATTTTTTTAGGCAATTGGGATGAAGTGATTTGCCCAGGGTCACACAGCTAGTAAGTATCTGAAACTGTATTTGAACTCAGGAAGATAAGTCTTCCTGACTCCAGGCCTGGCACTCTATCCACTGCGCCACCTAGCAGCCCACTCTGGATCCCAAGCTAGACCAAGTACAAGTCCAGGGCAGACATGAATGGTGACCCTGGAACTCAGGCTAGGCAGGTAAGATGGGACCTAGAACCTCACCGTTGTGGTCATAGCCCCCTCCTGCTGCGTCCCATCTCGGAACCAAACTATGGTAGCAGCAGGTTTGGCACTGCAAGCTCGGCACGTCAAGTTGTACGGTGTCCCTGCCCGCAGCAGGATGACAGGGCCCCCATCGATTGTAGGATCCTCTGGGGGGACTGTGGAAGAAAAGGAAAACAAAGTCAGCCAGAGGTGAGGTCGATGGGGATAGCAGTGTGAGGGCAAAGTCCTTCTGAGTCACCTACCCACCCCCCTACCACCTAAGCCACTTGGTGCCTCTGAAGCATCTCTCTACCTACAAGGTTTTAAATACCCTGACTCCTAGCCCGTTGCTGTCTCTGGTGTAGTCCATGAGCCTCAGAGCCTCCTTCCATGCCTTGGGCCTGAGATGGGAGGAACCTCAAAGATAGAAAGGCAAGTATACATATGGAGGTATGTGAGAAATGTCTGTTTGGTGAGTGTACTAAAAACTAGAATGGCTTAGTGCCCAAGCAGAACTCAGTGGGGGTAGAGAACAAGGCAGGATACACCTCCCCTTGGCAAGTCCTCTCATTATGAACTTCTTGGTGCTAAGGGAAGAGTGGAGGATGGAGAAAGAATAAAATTCTGTATGTTCTTATCTCATATTTGGCTCAACCACTCATGACACATTTGCTTGGAAGGTAGTGAATTGTGGTGGATACAATGTTGGACCTGGAGGTGCTAAATCCTTGTTTGGAATCTCACCTCTGATACTTACTAGCTGTGTGACCTAGGATAAGTCCCTTAGCCCCTCTGAGCCCAAGTCTTCTCATCTGTAAACGAGAATTATACTACCCATTATACCTATTTCACAGGGTTTGGTGAGATTATCAAATGAAACAATGTATGTAACGAGCTTTGGAAACCAGAAAAGGGCTATACAAAGGTCTATTTATTACTAGTTTTTAATAGCGAAAAGGAGAGAGGGTCAGGCCCATGGCTTTCAGACTGTACCCTGGAATTACAGTGTGCTGATCCCTCCCAGGATCAGGGTCTAAATGTGACAGTGCTCAGCAGAGGTGTCAAATATGCAGCCAAGTGCAGCTAAGCACTCCAGAGTATGCCTTGAACCAGATTAAAATGTAATTGAGAAATAGTTGACAAACTCAAAAGTTTTAAAAATAAATGTTAAAAAGCAATTGTTTTCACATGCAACTGGGGAATAAGAAATACAGGCAATGGGTATAGAAATCTATCCTGCCCTACAGGAAAATAGAAGGGGAAGGGGATAAGGGAAGGGGAGAAGAGATAGAAGGGAGGGCAGATTAGGGGAAGGGGTATTCAGAGTGCATGTTGTCTTAGGGTGGGAGGACAGACAAGATGGGGAGAAAATTTGGAAGTCAAAATCTTGTGGAAGTGAATGTTGAAAACTAAAAATAAATAAATTAATAAAATTTTATAAAAAAAAAATTCCTTACTCTTCCTCCCACATGCTCAGTATCACTGCTTCCATATTTCACTAGAATGGAGAGCCTCATTAATAATGACACCACTAATGTAAACACTAAATAATAGCTCACATGCATATAGTTTTAAGGCTTGCAAAACACTTTACACACTCTATGTCATTTCAATTGATCCTTATAATAATTCTGTTGGTAGTTGCTATCATTGTACCCATTTTACAGGTGAGGAAACTGAGGTTCATTGAAGTTAAGTAATTTGCCCATGGTCACACAATAGGTTAATGTCTGAGGACTCCTTGCTTTTGTGATGGCTGACCTACCTCCCCCATTCCTGGAATGGATTCCCTCCTCACCTCCACTTCCAGGAAACCCTGTCTTCCTTCAAAATGCAGCTCAAGCACCACTTCCTACATGAAGACCTCCTTGATCCCCTCAACTGCTAGTTTCTTTTCTCCCAAACTACCTTGTGTTAATTACTTTGTATTTATCCTCTTTATATTCATCTTGCAAACACTTATGTGTGTACTTGTTATGTCATGCATGTATGTTGTTTGTCCTTCATTCTCAAAGACCAATGACACCATGAGGATGGTGTCTTGACTTGCAGAGTCATGGGCCTTGCTCTCATCGGAGTCCAGTGGCAAGACAAGGGTCAAAACAACTGCAATGGCTCAGGATGCAGTGGGTGACCTTAGCCTTTCTGAATCAAGATTTTAGAGGGTAAACTCCTTGCAGATAGAGATTGTTTCATCCTTTGTACTTGTCTCCCCAGCACCTAGCATAATATCTAGCACATAGTAGGTGCTTATAAAAAATGCTTGTTGACTGATTGATGGAGAGATTTCAACCAAGGTCTTCCTGGCTCAAAGCCTAGGATTCTAACACCCTATTTCTGTCATGTAAACACTATCTAACCAGTTCCTCTCGTATAAAACGTAGGCATTATCTTGAACTCCTTTCTCAATCATCTCACATTTTTTAATAATTTGAAAATCCTGTCTTTTCTGCTTTCTACTTCATCTGTCCTCATCTCTATTTTTAATTGACACTTAATTTATAGGACCACAGATAGAAAACTGGAAGGGCCTTTGGAGGCAATCTAGTCCAACCTCCTTATTTTATAGTTGAGAAAAATGAGGCCCTGGGAAGTCATGTGACTGATCCAAGGTCACACAGGTAGTAAATATCAGCGGTGAGATTTTAACCCAGATCCTCTGACTCTAGCACCTGATTCCTTTCTCTTGTACCATGTCTTTTAAAAATCACATTCATTTCCAAATATATGCCTCGGTAAGTTCTTTATCTGAAGAAACCTCACTTGTTACAAAGATTAAGAAAAAAAGAAAAAGAAAAGCCTTCAGCAAAACCAAGCCAATACATTGACCATATCTGACAGCATAAACAATCTGTCGCCCATAGCCCTCCATCTCTGCAATAAAGGAGTGCAGGAAATGCATTTTTCAAACCAAGCTTGGCCATGATAATCACACTGTGTCCAAATTTCATTTTGCTATTTTTATACTTTATATCCTTGTAATCATATATATTCTTGCCTCTGATTACTTCACTCTGCATCAGGTCATAAAAATCTTCCCATATTTCTCTTAATCCTTCATTGTTCACTGGTTGTTACAGTGCAATAATATTCCTTTATATTTGTCTGATATAATTTTATATAGTCATTCTGATCAATCAACACGTACTTTGTTTCAAGTTATTTGCTACCACAAAAAGTGCCGCAATAAATATTTTGGTATATATGGGATTTTTTTTCTATCTTGGCCCTCCCTTAGAGAATATGCCAAGCAATGGGATTTTGGGGTGAAAAAATATGGAGGTTTTAATCACTTTATTAACTCAATTCCAAATTGTTTTCCAGAATGACTGGATCAATTCACAACTCCACCAATTCTGTATTATTGGGTCTGTCTTCCATAAGTTTCTCCAAAATTGACTATTTCCATCTTTTGTCATTTTTGCAAATTTGAGGGTTATGAGGTGAAACCTTGAATTTGCATTTCTCTTATTGGTGATCTAAACAAATCTTTCTTTTAATTGTGTTAATAGTTTGCAATCCTTTAGAGAATTGTTCATATTCTTTGATCACCTTCATCAGGAAATGGTTGTTGATCTTATAAATCTGTGTAAATTCCTTATATAACTAGGACATCAGACCCTTATCACAGATATTTGACACAAAGGGATATTTTTCCCTCCAGCTGACAATTTTCCTTCTTATCCTAGCTATATTGATGGTGTGGAAAAAGTGTTTCAATTCCATGTAATCAAAATTATCTATTTTATCATCTGTGATCTCCTTTCTCTCTTGTTTGGTTAAGAATTCTCCTTTCCTCCCCTACCAGCATATTTGTGAAAGATAACTATTCATCTCCCCCATTCTATGTGGTCTTTCATATTTAAGTCTGATATCCATTTAGAAAGTATTGTGCTATATTGATGGCATAAGGTGCTGGTTTAAATATATTTTTTGCTAAGCTGCTTCCAGTTTTCCCAACAGTTCTTATGAAGCAGAAAGTCCTTCCCCAAGTAGTGATGTTCTCAGGTTTAGCAAACATTAAGTTGTTATATTTAATTACTTCTGATTCTTTCTTATCTAGTTTGTGCCAATTACCTGCTTTTCTAATTTAATAATAATAACACCTAGCATCTATAGGGTGCTTTGAGGCATTTACTGAGTGCTTTGAGGTTTGCAAAGAGCTTTATTAATATTATCTCATTTAACCCTCATAATAATCCAGGGAGATAAGTGTTGTTATTATTACCATTTTATAGCTGAGGAAAATGAGAGGTTGAGTGACTTGCCCAAAGTCACTTTTGTAATAAATGTCTGAGGCAGTATCTGAACCCAGAGCTTTCTGATTCCCAGTCCAGTGCTCTATCAGGTCACCTAGCTACCAGTAATACATAGTTTTGATGATTACTACTTTATAATCCAATTTAAGAACAGGGAGCTCTATTTCTTTCTCTTTCATACTCTTTTTTCATTGTTGCCTGGAAATTCAAATCTAGACTTTCTTTTATCACTCCAAATTATTTTTAGTAATTATTTTGTCTAGCTCTGTAAAGTACCTCCATAGTAGTTTGATTGGTATAACCCTAAATCTGTAAATTAATTTAGATATAATTTTAAATATTGACATAGTTCAAATCTGAGCTATGAATTTCCCTCTAATTATTTAAGTCATTTCTTATTGCTTTAAAGTATTTTATAATGCTATTTATGTCTTGGTAGATTGACTGAATTTTCAGTTATTTTAAATGGGATTTCCCTTTCTATTATTTCCTCCTGGATTGCATACAAATGCTGATTTTAACGGATTTATTTATTATCCTCTTTCTACAAAATCTGTTGTCTCAATTTGTTTCTTTTCTGATTCTCTGGAGTTTTCTAAGTAAATCATGTCAGTGCAAACAGGGATAATTTTGTCCCTCCTTATTAATATTTATGTCTTTAATTTTTTTCCTTTCCTCTTGTTACTATCACTAGCATTTCTAAAATTATGTGTAGTGGGGAGAGAAAAGAGTTTCAATTTGCCATCATATTTACTGGGAAAGTCTCATTTCCCTATTGTGAATAATGCTAGCTTTTAGTTTTAAATATAGATGACACAGTGGATAGAGTGCCAGGCCTAAAGTCAGGATGACTCATCTTCATGAGTTCAAATCTGGCCTCAGACACTTCTTAGCTGTGTGAACCTGGGCAAGTCATT